GCTGTGAGCACCTTACAGTAGGGGTTTAGGGTTTAGGTTTTAGGGTTTAGAAGCCAAAAAGTTGGAAACCCAACAGCCTCAATGCTTAAGAGTAACGTATAGGGAATCCCAGCACTATTTGGCCTTAATCCGGTTTCCAACTTTTTGGGGTTCACTATAGAGCCTTATAGAGTTCACCAAGTTAGGGAGTTTCCAAAAACTGAGGGTACCTTATTTTGGGCGGGTCCTTACAAAAAGAATCCTACTTTTTAGGGTTCTATGCTAGGGCCTTACTTGAAGGATCCTGGGGCTTAGTAACTAGGGTTATAATTCGCCTCGGCCCCGGCCGAAGCGGTCAGAGGTTCCTATTCGGATTCCCTCTATTCCCCACCTCTTAATCCCCTCCCCAGTGACCCCACACCAAAAATCGGGGCCACTGCCCCCCCCCCACCATTAACCTCCCCCCCCTCCCCCCTTCCCTCCCGCCCCTCCTCCGCTCGCTGACAGGTGCGAGCTTTCTGGAGTTTTCGACGACACGGGACTGCAATGTAGCATCTTTATGTGTTGGGGCTCGCCTTTAAGGCTGCAGTACCAAGCGAGTTTCAAACCTGAATTCCTAACCCTACACCCCAGCCCCAGCCTGAAAAATTGGGGCTCGCCTGTAAGGCTGCAGTACCAAGGGAGTTTCAAACCTGAATTCCTAACCCTACACCCTAACCCCAGCCTGAAAAACTTTCAAAGCCCGGACAACACCTGCACCCGAAAGCACCTATGAACATTACTTTTACTATAAGTGCGATTCCAACTGTTACTTTTTTCCTACAAGCTAGAGCTTGCTGCAGATAGTAGCCACTCGCCGCATGCGCGTACAGCCGGGCCGAGGCGGACGACGCGCAGCTCAAATTAAGGTAACCATGCGTATAATTGCGTATAACCCCAAATGAGGTACCTATAACCTAACTTACTAAGTCCCCTGATCCTTTAAGTAGAGGCTTATAGAGTTTATCAATTTAGGGATGTAGGGTTAGGGAGTTTAGGGATTGAGGCTTAGGCTGTGAGCACCTTGTCCTCCGCAGGGCAGTCGAGAACCGGACAAAGCGCAAGGAAAAACGCGCACCTGGCCACATAGGCTGGGATGCTGCTGATAGCATCGGCTTGCGCAGAAGATGTCTTTTTGACGACCAGTGTCGAATGGGGGAGCTGCGGACATGAGAAGTAATCGTACCAGAAGAACAACGCATTGGCCTGAAAGTCTTTCAAGGGAAGCGGCTTGGCCGTTTGCACCATGGCTTCCTGAGTTGTCCTTTAAGCCCTTTGAAAATTATTTACGGTTATGGTTCTCTACAAAATAGTAGGGGAAATGAAACAAGATCCGAAAGGACAACCCAGCTTCTGTAACGATATCCAGGCCAAGGTATCCCGAGCTGTGCAGGATTCGCCTTACTGCATCCTGCAGGGTGCGCATCTGCTTGAAATCGGGATCTGGGTGTTGTTGCGTAAGCCACTGGTGCGACACGAAAGCTGCTCGCCCCAAGTCGTCGGTAAACTTCACGAGCTTGCCCCACGCCTTCAACCAATGCAAGAACTCTGCATTAAGGCCCTAAACGCTAGATCGACTGTCCTCTGGAAACTTACATCTCCGGAGGCCATAATCCTCAAACCCTAGGCAATGAACACAAACCTTCTTGCAACCCGTATATCGAAACCTGATAAGAATTCTTTTATAGAACTCTTGTCCAAAGCCTTCAACTGCTCGTGCGGCTCGACCTTTGTCATCTTCAGCAACACGTCTGCATGGACGGTGTACATGGGGTAGTGCATCGGCGGAACCTGAGCAACCCAAACCCTCAACACCCTGAACCTTAGATACAAAACCCTCAAAACCAACCCCTCCGTGGTCTCGTCTGTCAGGAGCAACCTACAATCTTCGCTAGAGACTTAGACGATGGGATCCGTCATGCCAGGGATTCGGTAGCAGCGAGGATGGGCACCACCAGCACCACCAGTACCGGCACCAGCACCACCAGCACCACCAGCACCACCAGCACCACCAGCACCACCAGTACCACCAGCACCACCACCACGACGGAGACCACAGCAACTGCTACGACCGAGATGGTGACGAAAAGATGCCAAGAAGGATCAGGTAATGAAATGATGATGCTGGTGAGAGTATCGGAGCGAAGCTATACTGGGCCTGAAAGTAAGTGGATAGCATGGGATAGCACTAGCACCGATTGTTCCGACCTCTGTACATTAGTGCAGGGCGCTTGTACCTCAAGAGCAACTTCTACAACCCGAACACCCTACAGTAGAAGCCAGAAAGTTGGAATATCATTATCGCAACCCCTTTAAGGTAAATTATAGGGGATCCTACCATTAATCCATATTCCAACTTTCTGGAGTTCCCTTTAAACCCTCTTAGACTCACCCTTCAGACAATCCCGGACACACATGGTGCCCAGCAGCATCTGCGTCGTCGGGCAGCGATCTGGCATAGATTTCCAGAGGCGTCTGCGACTTCCCTGAAACGCAGCAAGCCATGGCATGAAGTCCCAGGGGGTGATACTCAGACTCAAGTGCAACGCGAAACGCCCTAAAGTCCTATAAGGCGATAGTAAACCATTTTACCATACTACATAGTCGGTCTAGGGTATTGGAGGGTCTTAGTCCATTTGGGGTCTAGGGTGTCGGGGTCCTTGGGTTCAGGGTGGCATTCTCGGAGCAGCTGGGTTTGCATGGTTGAGTATGTAGCACATATGAGCCTGCATTGCTAAAGGCTTTGCGATCATTCGATGGAATCGTGACACCCTCATTAAACCCTTAAACCCTAAACCCTGACCGTGGAGATTTCCTGTGGAAGCTCTAGATCACATCCCGCTCGAAGTCTTCTACTACAGTCTCCAATGTTTTGCTGCCTCAGGCCAGGCACTTGAGACAAAACCCTTCAGCCTTGAAAAACCTGCAACCACGCAGCCCTGATGCGGTACAGCCCATAGCCCCAAACCCTAAACTCTGAAAGCCCTAACCCCTAAACCCCTAAACCCTAAACTCTGAAAATCCGAAAAATTAGCAAACAGAAGGAGCCCTGTTCTTTAACCAGGATGCCCGGTAACCTAGGAATAAAAAGGGCTCCCTGTTTGATGATGGGTACCTTTATAAGGAGCCTAGGACTACAAAAAGGGAATATGGGTACTACTGGGCATCCTACGGTTGATGATATAAATCCTGCAGTACCCAAAATAAGGCAGATGCCATACTTCCCATAGTATAGGGTCCTTAAGGTAATGCAGGATTTATATCATCAATATCATCAACCGTAGTAAAAACCCCAAAGCCCTAAAGCCCTAAACCCTAAAGCCCTAAACCCTAAGCCCTAAAGCCCTTAAGGGAGCCCATAACGTTTCCTTGGAAGGTGGCTCGGAGGCCCCGGCTGTTAGGGTCCTTAAGGGAGGGGGTTCAAGGGGGGAGGGTAGAAGGGATCCTTTTTTTCAAAGGGGAGAAGGAGGGACCCTTAATGGGGACCCCTACCCTATAACGGACTATATAATGGGGAAAAAATGGCTATATTATGGGCACATACCTGGGGGTCCTTATTAGGGGTCCCTCCTTTTACCCTTTGATATAAGGGAACCTTAGGGGGCACTAGGGAGAACTAGGGCTTAGTAGTTTATCTACCCCCCTTCAACCCGATACGATAATGAGCCTCCGAACTCCCAAGAAAACCTGACGGCTCGGCGAGTGCAGCTGCTGCAGAATCCTTCACGTCCTGCCGGGGGCATGCTGAGGCCCTAAAGCCTAAACCCTAATGGCTCAGAGGATTGGGGTTCGGAGTCTAGGAGAGTTGATCGGGTTTAGCGAAGTTGAGGGTTCGGGGTTCTAGGAGAGTTTATAGGGTTTAGTGATGTTTACGGCTCGGAGTTGAGGATAATTTATAGGGTTTTTGATGTTTAGGGTTTGGGGGGGGCCTTGGGTCTCGTTAATTGTTTACAAACCAGGGTGGAACTATTCTACAAGGGCCTCAATCTTTACCTATACTATGTTTTGGGAGGGTTCCTCATCATAATTAAAGCATAATTGTATTGGGAGGGCTCCTTATCATAATTATAGTATAAGTATAAGCCTATTCTGATTATTGGGGCCGCTATATTACCCTCATTGTAGAGCTCGTATGGCAACCCTTGTAGAACCCTGAAAGGAATCCTTTCAAAGACACTTATCGAAACCGAAAGGAAGCCGCTTAAAGGGCGTACCCTGAGGCCAACTGACAAGGGTAAGGCCTGCTTGAAGGATCATGGGACTTAGTAACTAGGGTTATAAGTAAGGTAACCGTACTTATAATTACGTATAACCCCAATTAAGGTGCTTTTAACCTATCTTACTAAGTCCCCTGATCCTTCAAGTATGTCATGCAGGGCAGACTTGGTCTCAAACATTATGTTCATGAGTGATGCGGTTCAGACTCGTGCTATTCGCATGACGATTGGTTAACGATTGCCGTAGACCGGGCTGGCTTCTGACCTACATACAGCCAAATCTTCCGAAGACTTGCCGAAGCCGAAATTAGGTACCTCTCACTGGGGGGCTGCGTTGCAGGAGCTGGCGGGGTTTACCGTTGGAGTTCAGTCGAGGTCTGAAGCTTTCAGGGCACGGCTAAAAGATTGTGAGTTGACAGCGCCAGGGCTACAGTTACAGAGTTCAGGATGGAATACTGATTAAGCAATCCCTGCGTTGCACAAGCATTTGCTGACGAAGATGGGCCTCAGCCTATTGAAGCATTCAACTGAACTTAGCAGCTTACATCTGAAGCAATGCTGCACGCCTGCATGTCTCTCAGCACAAATGTCAACTCCTTTGGCCCTAGCCTGAACGCAGTAACTCCTGTGCACCAAGCATGTGCGACTGCCACATTCCATTAAGCTTCTTTTCTGCAGGCCGCAGGTAGCTAGCCACAGTGCATCGGTGCACCGCATGCTCATGTCTCACAGGCATGAGCCACCTAGAATTTCGCATCGAAACAGCTACACCACCAAGGGTGTGGTGTTGCTACCACAGAGCAGACTTGCGAAGCTCGACTCCCACTGTTCGATGTTACGCCAATGCACTCCGGCCGTAATTTCCCAGCCTTTGGTGCTAGGAGTTGTGAGGCCCCGGTCGTCGATCGCTACCCGGAGAGTCCTAGGTTGGCCTTTAAACAACAAAATATTTATATATAGGGTCCCTTATAAACCCAAATAAGGAAAACAAAAAATGTCCCAAAATCCAACCAAGAGTCTGAAAATCTATCAGATCCGTGGGAGACCAGAAGGGCAAAGTGCTGACAGCCACGGCGTCGTAGATCACGGAAGAGCGGACAGAACTTGCAGGACCTTTGGGGCCATCTAGGACCGGTCGCCAAGGACATCGTGGGAGCCAGGTCTTGAACATCTGCAGGAGTGCATGGACAGTGGGCACATACTCTTGGCACTGCAACAGCCTCTTAAACTGAAGCCCATCTATCTGAGCTAAAGCGGCCACATCCAAGGGTGCAGTGACATTGAGATGGGCATAGAGCTTGCGAGAACTCGCGACATCTGCCCTGACATTCCACTCAGCAATGGGCCCTCCGGTTCCGTTGTTTCCGTGCCAGATGCTACCTCCCATGGCATGGATGGAGGCAACTTGGCTCAACCTGTGCGTGCGTGTGCTTGTGTGCGTGTGTGTCTGCCGCGTTTTTTATCCTAAAACTGAGTACCTAATTACCGGTGGACCCGAAAGCCTAAATCCCAGGGGGCTGATTCGCACATCCAAGATTCGAAAGCATGACGTAAAGCAAGTTTGAAGGATCGTCGGATTTTGTGGGTCGGCTATGCTATGTTTGGTATTGTGAGAAGCATGCTTGGGGGCATCCCGTAATGTAAGCCTACACTTGCAACCTACTTACGCCCACTGAGTCAATGAAGAAAAACAAACTGAGTCAAACAGGGGCAAGCGACCATGGCGCACGCCGCAATGCCTCGGCCACGGCAGCACATGGCGAAAGAACCAGCAGCACGACGGGCACATGGTCCTGCAGGGGAAACTCCAACTGTAACCCGAAACCTAACGCAGATTGCGAGGACTTGCCCATCCAAACCCAAACTCATCTCGAAAAAAAGTCTTAAGCCCACGTTCAATCAATCGAGGTAACGGTGCTTTACTCACAAGCCCTCCTGTAACCTTTCGAGTCTGAACCCAAACGTCCCGAATACCTTCAAACCCTTAAAACCCCATCCTCGGCTTCCTCAGCAAAAATCTCTATTGCGGACCTGTGGTCTTGTTTCCCTTGTGTGGACTTCGAAAACGGGGAGTTAGTCCCCTCGTTCACACCACGCTGCTGCTGCTGTTGAAGTAAGCCCGTCCTGGGAAGCCAGGGTAACTTCCCGGATGATGGCATCGGCAGCAGAGTCGTGGATGGTGCCCGGGAATCGCGCCAAGTCACTGGGTCCGGCCCAACCTTCCTCGCAGATTGTTCAGCTAACCATCAACACGAGTATGACTACTAAAGTAACCGCAACGGTGCTAGTAACTGGTATTGCGATAATTACAATATGCAACTAACAGATAATACGGTCGTATCGTAGTTGTTAACTGACCCCAACATCAAACCCAAAGCCCGAGGAAGCAAGACCCCAAACCCCCGCTAGCTCCCGCAGAAAACTTTGGAAAGCAACCTGCGCCCTGGCCAGGAGACCAAAACCCTTGAATTAGGGAATATACCTTAAATCATATAAGGGATCCTATTATAATTTAAGGTATATTCCCTAATTAATGGGCCCTGCCCAGAGACTCTTATAAGGAATATTCCGAAATTAAGGGATATTGGAGGCTCTGGGTTCGCCCTCCCACCCCCACCCCCACCCCCACCCCCCACCCCCGACCCCCCCACTCCCCGGCCGGGGAACCATGATCAGCGCTTTGCCGGTGGTGTTTGGTCCGATGGCGATCGCCGGGATGTCGTTCCTGGGCTCTAAGCCAGGGTTCCTTTAAGGGTCCTTTAAAGGGATCTATAGGGTTTCTATAAGGGTATAGGGTTTAGGGTCTACTTGGAGGTTCATGGGTAGTTATAAGTGGGGTTCTAAGTCCCCCTAATATGGGTTATAACTATAGTTACCCTACTTATAACCCTACTTATAAGTACCCATGAACCTCCAAGTAAGCTTGTTGAAGAACTTCTTTCTGTGACTCCGTCTGCTCTATGCGGCATGGTTGGTCCTGAACTAAAACCCTGAATAACCCACCTTTTTAGGGTTCCTTACTATGATTTCCTTATATAAGTCCTTAAAACGGTAGGTTCTTCAGGGTTAAGGTAATCCCTAAACCCTGAGCCCTTCGCATGTCGTCATGAGGTTTTCTCCGTGTCTGTCTGCTCCACTTGCTTCGCGTGCGTTTCTACGAGCTCTCAAGATGTGCAGTGTGAAACACATAGAAGCGGGCATGACCAGACATGTGCACATAAACTAGTCACCAGATGTTTGTGTGTTTTAGATTGTAAACGGTGGATACTCCTAAACCCGAGGCTCCAAGCCCGAACCCCTAGACCCCTAAATCCCTTAAACACTAGACCCCTAAATCCTGAACCCTACAGACCCTATAAGTCCTAAGAGGCTTCCTTTCTAAGCACTTACATGAGGACATCATAGTAAGGAGCACTAAGAAGCCCAAGGGTCCAAGTACCTAATCATCATATACTCTCCAAGATCCTCACCTACATGACTACTATCCCGAAACCGAGTACCTAATTATTGGGTCCTTTGGACCCTTGGGGAAGGTAGGTTCTTTAGGGTCGAGATGGGCCCGAAGAGCCGGGTTTCAGGCGACCGGCCATGGCCAGAAACTTGGCCAGAACCTCCGGCTCTGGAAGAGTAGGTTTCGGGATGTTTCGAGTTTAGGGTATAAGGTTTAGGGTTTAAGGTTCAGGGATGCTTCGGGTTTTGGAGATGTGGAGTTTAGCGTTCTGGGTTTGGGCTTATACAGAGAAAGGAGTTGTAAAAGGTGTGTGTCTGTGTCTGTGTGTCTGTGTGTGTCTGTGTGTGTCTGTGTGTCTGTGTGTGTGTCTGTGTGTGTCTGTGTGTGTCTGTGTGTGTCTGTGTGTGTCTGTGTGTGTCTGTGTGTGTGTGTGTGTCTGTGTGTGTGTGTGTGTGTCTGTGTGTGTCTGTTTGTGTGTCTGTGTGTGTGTCTGTGTGTGTGTCTGTGTGTGTGTGTCTGTGTCTCTGTCCGTGTGTGTCTGTGTGTGTGTGTGTGTGTCTGTGTGTGTGTGTCTGTGTGTGTGTCTGTGTGTGTCTGTGTGTGTCTGTGTGTGTCTGTGTGTGTCTGTGTGTGTCTGTGTGTGTCTGTGTGTGTGTGTGTGTGTGTGTGTGTGTGTGTGTGTTTGTGTTTGTTTGTGTGTGGGGGGTGGGTCAAGGGTTGTGTGAGGGTCCTACGGGATTTTACGCAAAGGTCCGAGGTACCCTGTCATTGGGTGCTTGGTTTATGATTAAAGAGATGTTGTAGCTGGTTGGTACAGTAACTGGGGGAGAACATCAGTATAGTAGGTGCTCGGAAACTTTGGTTAAGTCCTTTTTGGAGAGAATGTCAGAGTTAGTTAAGGGTTTATCGCCGCTCGGTGCTTAGCTTGTACAATCCTTCCCTGTGATTGAGGTGCCGTTCTCGGGCTTTTGATATTCAGGGTGCAATGTCTTTTGCAGCGATACTATACGGGCTTAGGGCTTCAGGTTTAGTCGAAGACTTTTGGGACAGAAGGCTCCATGAATCCTGACGAAAACGTACATTTCTACATGGTGCTTCTTGATTTCTTAAACCCTAGCCAGCAAAGCAGACAAACCCCCTGAACTGTGTCCGTGAAGCATTCCATCTGGTGTCAAAGCTTCGTGCCACAGCGACTCAGACCCTGTTGCAAGAATCTTATAGGATCCTTAAGGGAGGGTGGTTCAAGGGGGGAGGGTATAAGGAATCCTTAGGGGACTGTAAGGGAACCTTAGGGAGTACTACAGGTAAGGGAGAATTAGGGATCACTAGGCTATATACCCCGCTTGGACCCCCCTCCCTTAAGGATATTATAAAAGAACGATGAAACCCTAGACTCCAAAGCCCAAAACCCGTAACCCTAAAGGGGTTCGGGTCAGGGTTTAGGGCTTAAGGGTTCAAGGGTTTAGAGGAGCATTCATGGATGTCAGCCTCTGCCCGGTGCACACTGGAGTAGGAGTCCGTCACCACCAACCGCAAATCCTTGGTTGACTCTCTTCCCACTTTAAGGTTTAGGGGTTTCATTTCTTGGGATATATCCTTGGCTGCCAGATAACCTGACCTTGAAGCGCATTCACACACAAACCACAGGACCATTAAAGTGCTCCAGCCAGCATGGTATACGTGTATATACCAGGTTCCCCAGTTGACCCTCAACAATACGGGTGCCGTTGTCCTACTAGCCAGATTTTACACGAAGACCCGGAACAATCAGACAGGGCAAAAGGGTTCTGCTGGGGAACCTAGGCTATTGTATAGCATTTTCAACAGCGAGCCGGGCAATCATGTATCATGCATTACTTGGAGGAGCATGGGACTTGCTAAGTCGGGCTAAATGTAACCTTAGTTGGGGTTCTAGGTAGATGTTACTCTAGTGTGGTCGTAATAAAAAACCCTACTTACTAATTGCCCCGATCCTTTAAGTGGGCTCCCGTGGAAGACTCCGTCCAACAGAAACCCTAAACCCTAAACCCCCAAATCCTAAACCCCAAAACGCTAAGCCCCCCAACAGAAACGGACTGCCACAGGCGTCTAAGGAGCAACCCTGGGATCCTGCAGCAAGGCGCTCAATGCCCAGGCATCGTCGATGTCGTCGCCGATGTCGGTGTCAAGAATCACCTGGGTTCTTGTGAAAGAAGGGGTTTAAATTCAGTTTCGATAATAGGGAGCTGTAAAGGTTCCTTTAAGGGTTAAGTTACCATAATAGGGATCTATACTGAGTAAAACGGTTTCCTCACTGCGACAACTGAAACTAAATCCCCGAACAAGAGCCCAGTCACGCGGAGCGGCGCCGCGGCACAAGCAAGGAGGCAGAATGAGGCCCAAGCAGCCACCCGCGCCACCATGATGCGAACAGCCCTTCTCAGCGAAGCACTTGAGGGTCTGCGGCTAACACCATCATCCGGCAAGATAAGGTGATCTAGCTAAACTTAGATGCATTCTTGCTTGCTACTATGCGTGTGGGCACCGCAAGCCCCTTTGCCTGACCAGGTACTGCAACATCCCCAAACGGAGCATTCTCGCCAAAAGCTCCCACAAAAACGCCTGACACCTCGACCTTAACACAACACGAACATGCACAAACAACCATACTTTGAAGACTGGAGTGCTCCCAACTCCAAGCCTCGAAAGCCCGGGACTGCACCTTGCGGCCTCAAACCCTGTACAAACCTCCTTCGACCCTAGCGCATGAAGCAGGGAAACCCTTCAACCCTCAAATCCAACTCCCTAAACCCTGTAAGAATCCTCCAAGCCTAAACCGACCAAACCTTAAACCCCAAACCCTCAAAACCCTCAAAACCTTAAACCCAAACCCTTAAAACCTGAAACAAAACCCCAAACCCTAAGCCCGACAAACTGCTATACCCAGAAACCTTAAACCGAAGTTACACGCTAAACCCTAAACCCCAAAACCGAACTTAAACCCCATAACCCAAAACCCCCAAACCCTAATTAAGCTCTCAAACCGAACTTAAACCCTATAACCTACAACCCCTAAACCCTACGCCCTCAAACCGAACTGAAACCCTACAACCTCAAAACCCCACCCTACGCCCTCCAACCGAACTTAAACCCTATCACCTATTTACATAACCCCTAAACCCTAAGCCCTCAAACCGAACCGACAGGGAAACTCCCGCCATCCTGCGCACCCCGGAGGGCTTCGAGTCCATCGCCTCGTATCGTGCTCTTTATGGGCTTTATAGGGTTTAGGCGGTTGGGGGGTTTAGGGGTTAGGGTTTGGGGGTTTAGGGTTTAGGGGTTTAGGGATTTAAGGGGTTTAGGGGAGGGTTGTGCCCATGTTTGTTTTAGTCTCCCGTCTGTGTGTGTGTGTGTCTCTTTGTCTTCTGTTTTGTGTGTTCGGTTATTTGGTTGTTTGGTTGATTCATGTTGACTGCGTGCTTGTGGTTTTACTTGTTGCTTGTTGTGGGTTCCTGCTGGGTTGCTCTTGGTTCCTCTTTAAGTGTTGCGGGTTCAGGGCGCCACAGCACTTTCAAGCGCTTCGCGGCTCGAGGTCTGGGCTTCGGGTTTCATGATTAAGTAGCTACGGGTTGTGAAAAGCTGAAGGGATAAATTTGGGTTGAAGGGCTGAACATGCTCAAAGCTTGAGAGTTTATGTAGGTTAGGGCAGGGTTGTCTGGGGTGAGGGCTTCGCAATTTGAGCTTTCGGGTCTGATTTTTTTGGGTTTCGGGGTTTAGGCTTTTCACGGCTTCACGATCTTAGGGCTTTAGACTTTAGGGTGTAGGGTTTGTGCTGCGAGCCCGATCACAAAGACACAGAAACAGCTGAAAACTCTTCTTCGCAACTATGGCATGGCCTTGTCGCTCCAATACGGTTTGGAATACACTACGGCGCCTGATTTAGTAACAGTGCTGGATATTTATTGGGTTTAGGGTTTGGTTTGAGAGCTTAGCTTCTTGAAGAGGTGCTGTCGACGCAGTGCTGAAGCCTACACCCTCTCACAAATCATCTCTCAACATACGCCCACACAGTTCAACTTCCCACACCCCGAACCACCAGCTCTAAATCCTACTGCAAAGCCGAACCCTCAGCTGGACTCTTTTTCTGCCATGTTGGGCTTCTTCCACGGAGTGTTCCGGGAAGCTGGGCCAACATGCTGGTGGTCCCTCCCACATGTGCCAGCCGTTCGACCGGGCTCCTGTCGGATGGGAACTACTTGAAGTCTCATGGTAAGGGTCACATCTAAGAAAGGGGACTGAATCATCAGAACCGGGGTTTGGGGCCCACTATGCTAAGTTAGGATAAGGAACGACCAAAAATAGTATTAGTTGGTAATCATTATTGAGGCCTATATAATTATGTACAAGTACAAATGGTCAACTTACTAGGACAGGCACTGATAGATTTGATATTTGGATGAGGGTTTGACATGTAGACCTGAGGTTATGGATCCCTCAAGACTCGTGTATTTAGCAGCAGCGATAGCAGCAGAGACCTGCTGCGTGGCTGTCTTCTGAAAAGTCAGATCTTGCCCGTTTTTTGCGTATGCTGCTGTTGAACTTCTTCACATGTATGAGTCCCAGCGCGTTTGTGCGAAAAATATCCAAGCGCTTCGGGAGCGTGCGCTGCATGGTTGTCGTCAGAGGTGGCCTACCCGAATGTGTCCTTTGTGTCGGCACCGCAGGATCGGTTGCGGAAGCTGGGTGAAAAAGGGCCATGTAAAAAATGAAAATAAACTAAACAAAATACTTGTAATGACGACCCTGCCGCACTGTAGAACATGTTGGAACTAGGCGTTCCCTTTTACGATTCCTTGAATCAGGTTCCTACTATTCAGCTTTGGATGTGGCGTCCCTTTGTTTTCGGCATATTCAATCCCCACAACATTGCTCACGGCTCGGAACACCTTAGAGACTACGATAAGGAATACACCATAATTCCCATAGTCTAGGGTCAGTAAGGTAGTGCAGGATTCGTAGCATCTACCGTATCATCTATGTAAACAAGGTACCCTTAACACAGGCCTGCATGGTCCCCACTCGCGCCCTGGTACTCTTAATGCAGGCCTTTTTGGCCTCGGGTCTTCTGGGTATAAAGAGCCAGGGGATAGAACCTATCAGGTAGATTCTGGCATAGTATGGTATACCACAGTAGATTACAGCATGTTAAAACTATGTTACGGTATAGTGGTACACTTCTTCAATCATACAAACATCAAAACAAGCTCGCAGCCCCAAGCACTATGCCCTAACTCCCTGAGCCCTAAACGAAACTCGACCTACGCTCTCTGAACCATAAATAGTCTAAACTCTGTATACCCTTGATTCTAAAGCCGAAAACCCCTAAATCCCATTCCCTAAACCCTATCCCCTCTACTCTACCCAAAGCCCTGCACCCTGGAACTCTAAACTAACCCTGTCCCGCACCCTTCTGAAACCCAAAGCCCTGTACCCTACACCTTCACCTGTGGACTTTGAAGTAACCAAGGAGAAAAAGTATGACCTCTCATTTCAGACAGGTCCCTTTAAGGAACAGGTTCCCCAAACAAGTCTTCCAGTATGGCAGAGGCCTTAATAATTTAGACTATAGGGTTTTGGGGCCCATCCTACTATATTTAGATTAAGGAACCCCCCAAAATGGTCTTGGTAATTATTTTAGGACCCTATAGCATAGTACGCCACTATAATTAATTGAGGAACCCACCAAAAAAAACAAAAAATGCTCTTGGTAATTATTAAAGCCCCTATAGCATAGTACGGTACTCTAGAACTCCCTTATAGTAACCTTTATAGGAACCCTTATAGAACTCCCTTATAGTAACCTTATAGGAACCCTTGAAACAAAAACATAGTACGGTACTCCAGAACCCCGTCTCTCCTGGTCCCGCTCTTCCCTTCCGACTTCGCGCGACCGGACCGAAGACCTGTGTCTGAGTAGGAATTTTATTTCAGTATACCATATAATATATGTATGTATATATATATATATGTAGGGCTCTATAGTAGCTAATTAATTAATATGGCTTCTTCATCCTGGTAACTTAAGTTAAATCCCTTACCAAAAACCCAGAATACGCTTGAAATCCAGGGCCTTAACAACTAGAATAGGATGTGGGTTGCATTTGAACAGGGTTTTCGGTGCTTTAATACTCATAAAAGAACGTTGTGTTTTGAGTTGTAACAAGGGGATTTAACCGTTCGAATAGGCTCCTTGGATTTCAATATTTAGAAAAGGTGTTTGTGGAGTTAGGGATTGGGGTGGGAGAGTCTAGGGGCCGCAATCATTAGAATAGTGCTCTCAGACGTTGAACCCGAAATCCCAAACCCGAAGCCCGAACGCGAATTACTCTTCCCACTTCTGAAGTTTGAGTGTTCCGATCGAGCCGGATGCTTGCAGAATTGCACGGAAATCGAGACACTATCGAGCTGTCGAAAGCCTGAAGCGCAACACCCTGAATACAAAAGCCCGAAGCGAAGCAAGAACTAGAGCTCAACAAGGAACCCGAGAAGGAACCCCTAGAAGAAACCCTTAAAGGAACCCAGGAACCGGAAAAGGTGCCTCGTAGAGTGGGCACGTACCATCGCAAAAGGGTGCCCAAGAGGATCTGTCAGGGGTTTAGTTTAGGGTTTAAATTTAGAATAGTGTTTCGGGTCTCGTTATACTATAATTACAACTAGAACCCCCACTCCCCCCCCAACAAAAAAGTATCGGAAACTATTAAGACCCCCAGAGCAGAGTGTCATCCTGTTGCAGCGAGGTTTGTTCTCTAGGGCTCCAGTGTCAGTTTGGGAAACCCTAAACCCTAAACCCCTAAACCCTAAACCCCTAAACCCTAAACCCTAAACCCCTAAACCCTAAACCCTAAACCCCTAAACCCTAAACCCTAAAAGAGCTGCTCTCTGGTTTCCAGGGCTTCCGGGTCTGATGTTTTGGACCCAGCGTAATGTGAGTATGGTAAATAAACTACCTAAGGGTTCCTTTAAGGGTTCCTTTTACAGGGTTCTATAAGGAGTACTACAAGGGTATTACGGGGTTCAGCATAGGTGCCCAAATAACGGTGCCTGAGTAATTGCCAATGCTTTTTTTGGGGGGGTCCTTGTTATGATTATAGAATAATGGGCCCCAAAACCCTATTCTAACTATTAAGGCCCCTAGAGTATGGTGGTTTGGGGTTCAGGGCGTATGGGAATGAGAGTCATATCTGGGATTGCCCACCCATCTTCATGCTATATGCTTGGATCTGTTGTAGAATCCATGCACAATCAGCAAAGCATTGAAAGGGCACCCATGGTCAACAAAACAACTGTTATCTGTTATCTTCCTCCCATGAAAGGTACGTTTGCTCAACTAAGCTGAAGAAGTCCGAAACTCAGATCCTCCCAAGCCTGTGTGCCGACGTCAGGAAGCGATCAGGATGCACAACCGTCCACCTTGAAAATTGGAGTCTCAACAACCCCACCCCTTCTAAAATCTAAACCCCAGCTAACGTTCTGAACTTCTTGATTGAGGAATACTGGACCGCAGTCTCTGTGCACCGTCATGTAACCGAATGGCTGCGCTAAGAACACCGAACAGCCCAGCTGAGGCTACTTATG